GCCGTGGGCGCAGCGCTGTGCCCCGGTGAGCACAGCTGCGTGCCGGCCCCTCAGCTCCTCGGCGCGGGGCAGAGACCTCGGAGGAGTCCGGGGCGCCGCGCCTCCAGTGCCTGCTTCTCCGGGTCGGAGAACCGCTCCGTGCCCTCCCGCTGCCCTGCTCCGCATCCTGCCACAGCCAGTCTGTGGAGCCCCTCCTTTATAGCCCGCGGCTCTGTCAGGTGCCTGCGATCAGTCCCATCAAGTCATCCCCTTGCCCCCCCCCCCGCGACGATTACCAACCCACTTGTGGGAGCCAGCCCCCTCGGTCTGGCCTCTGGCTTACTGCCCATCACACTGCCCAGCTGACTTATTCAAACGGGTCTTGATAGTCCACTTGTCCACCCCACCCAGGTGGGATGCACACATTGGTTGAGTATTCCCCACACTGAGCCAGTGTTTCTGAAGGAAGTTAAGCTCTAGAGGTCAGGTGATAAGTACTTCATGATTAAAAACAAGTAATGTAAGTCTTGCATAGTCTTTCTTAAAAATAATACAGACATTTCCCATGCTATGTGGACATCCATTTTTCAGAACTTCATAGCATTTTCCTGAGGAAGCTGCTGCCTTGCCAGGCAAAATTTTCAAACCACATCCACATGCATGCTGTTTGATTCCAAAAAAGTGTAATGAAATCGAGGTATAAACTTAATCAAACACTGTGATTTATGCTGTTTCTTGGTTGTCCACAGGCGAGTTCTGCACTGTGATTTTCCCTGTTGTAATAGTTGTAGGGATCAGAAACAGAAAAGTAATGATGAGGGCAGAGTTTGAAGGTCAGGCAGTTCACCCAAGTTGTCCTTCGTATCAGCCCCATGTTCTCTGCAGTTCTGGGAGTCTGGGGCCCCCATAAGTTATCAGGTGCATCCTACAAACTGTTTATACTAAGTTAATTTGCTGAAAAGTGTGCTTATATTGGAGTGCCTTTTACAGAGTTGTCTGTTGTTTGCTGCTGGTACAACATGTTTGTTTTCAGTGTTACTATACAACCCTCACCTAAAAGCTAATGGTACCAGCTGTTCAATATAAATGTTATATTGGGTTCTAAACCCTTTGCTGCAAATTTAAGAGCATTAAAAAATGTAAGTACAAAACATAGAGCGGAAATTGTTACTAAAATAAAATGGAATAAAAACAAAACATTCTCAAAATGATGATTAATTTTGTTTCCCCTGGAAAACACCTGATATTCTGATCAAGATGATAAGAAGACAATGTCTTTAGAAAGTTGAAATCTGCTTAAAGAAATCAAATTTGACCAGAGTGTTTTTTTTTCTCTCTTCCTAGCCGATGAAGAGTTTGATGAACTCTGTTTTGAGTTTGGTCTGGAGCTTGATGAAATTGTACGTAGCGTTTTTGTTTTTGTCATTTTACATCTGTCTATATCGCTGTGGTTCTTGCCATTTTTACTGAACTCTTCTCTGTAGAAGAGAGGGAAAGCCACTTTTGACCAGTCTGCAGCAGTTTAGACTAGCCTCATTTAAATAGTGCAAGAGTCTTCTCTTTAAATAGTATAACGGTGCCATCTACATTATTGTTCTCTTTTGGTGTAGTGGCCATGAACTTCCAAAGTCAGGACCCTAACTACAATCACTACTTTGCAGGTACTCTGTAAGCTCTAGTTTGGCTTTATTTTTATGCAGGGTTGTACGACTTCCACAGAAACGACCTGTTTTGGCATTCTGTGGATTTTTTTTAAGTTGAAGTAAATTTGTCTGAACAGTATTAATGTGGGTTCTGATACTGTACAAGACTTTGCTAGTATTGATACCTGCCTTCTTGCAAGGCGTCTGGCACTGCTTTGGCAATTTTAATTTCTGATTTGTCTTAAAAAGTTTTATTTTTTTTAGTCACCTACTTTTACATATTAAAGCTGTTTTTTAATGCTTTATTACAGAATAAATGTATGGTATTACTAATAGTTTTACTGATCTACAGCCAGGAGTAAAAAGTAATTACGTCCTGTTTGGTATTGGGATACACACGTGTTAGTTTTTGCCTTAGGAGTTAGTTTCTGATGGCTGATGATTCCTTTGGATAATTACATTACAGTTTCTGAAACTTAAGGGGATCTTTATTTAAAAGTTTCTTGTATGTCAAGTATTCATTAACTGGTGAACCCGCATCCTGCCTTTTAACCTGCATTTTTTAAAAGAAATACTAGCATCTACTTTCTTTATTTTTTTTTTAATTTCTCTATATTAAATTATGCTAAACTCAAATTGTTTTTACTGATCATTTATTCTATTATTAACAACATAGATTTTCTTTAATTTTAGACTTCTGAAAAAGACATAATAAGCAAAGAACAAGGTGGTGGAAAGGCAGAAGGTGCATCAGATGTAATTCTTTACAAAATTGATGTTCCTGCTAACCGATATGACCTTCTTTGTCTGGAAGGATTGGTCCGAGGGCTTCAGGTCTTTAAAGAGAGGTAATATAGTCTTCTTAGCTTTTTTTTTAACTGTAACTTAAGGAGTTTTTTTTAATTTAAGCAGCTGATTAAGAAATTGTTTATTTTCTTGGCCTTTGAGAGATTTCTGATGTAAAAGTTATCTGTAACAAAACATATCTGCAATCCAGAAAAACTTGCCTGGAGAAGCTCTTAGCTGCAATTTTAAATGGAGTAGAAGACAGTTGTGTGTGACATGCTGAAGCTGAGAGAGATGATTGTGATTACTTGCCTTGTTCTCCTGATTTCTTTAATGGGATCTTTAGGATTGTTAATAGTAAAATACCACATTCTTCCTTATTAGTGCATGCAAGTAGTTACTAGTGTTAACATTTATTAATGATCTAGTTAGCCATATCTGTAATAGTTTGCAAGATGCCAAATAATTTTCTCTCTCACTGAAGCTAGTGGGAGTAGAGCAGTGATTCTCAACTGGGGAGCTGCAGTACCCCCTCGGGAGTGCTGTGACACAGGTGATGTCATTGTGGCGGCAGCCTGGTAAAAATGTCCTATATGCACTCCTCCTGCATTAGGTGCACGGGACAAATCCACCTGAGCATCTCTGTTTCCAAGAGGAGCATAGGATGGGAAGGGCTCCTGCTTTCTTTAGGCTAAGTACAGCCCTAATGCAGGAGGAGTCCATGCATGTGGTATAGCCCTTCCTTTCCTTCCCAGGCTCACTATGCAAGCAAGCCCTCAGGGCACTTTTACCTGGAGGCAGCACAACCCTCTTGAGGAACAATGGGGTAAGTTGAGTCAGCACCAACAGTAGTTCCCAAACAAGGAAGCTGCCACATTCAAAAAAGCGATGGAGGGATGTTCTGACTCTAAAAAGGCTGAGAACCACTAGGTTAGAGGGTACTCAGAGTTGGTTCTTTACAGGCATGTCCTTAATATATATATAACCTTGATTTTGCAAGTTTATTATGAAAGGCAAGTTACCTCTTTTAAGCACTAAGATATTTTATAGGAAGCTGTATTTATATTGGTAACAAGTTAGTAGAAAACTTTGGATTTACATTGTCAGTAAATGTGTAATTTTGAACGCCACTAAAATCACTAAAGCATTTTTTTCCAGAAATAACATTAATATGGTTCCAATATTTCCCCCATTTAAAGAGTAAAAATCTCATTTGTAAACTTAATTTCCCATTTTATTTTAGGATAAAGGCCCCTAGATACAAAAAAGTCATACCACCTAATGGTGAAATTCAGAGGCTGCTCATCACTGAAGAGGTAAAACTACTTCTGAACTTAGGTCAATATTGTGAAGGTAGTCGTTACTGATTTTTTTTTTTTTTTTTTTTTTTGTATTGTAAAAATGCTAGGGCCAGAAAGCTGATATGTAGGATCATTGCAATAGCAGAGTGAGCATTTTGAGGGATTGTGATTTCTTTGCAACTATTCTTTCTCTTAAATCTGATGTGGAAAGATGGCAAGTCAGTGTAGAACAAATGTAGTGAAGTATTAAGTTTTTTACGTTTGCGAGGATCTTTTGGAATCTTTTTTACTCTAAGAACAGCTGTTGTTGCAGACCTGATGCTGATGGCTGTTTGTTGTTGGGGGGGGAGGAGGAATATGGACATTTTAATGTATTTTTCATTGGTTATTAGCTCTAAGCGAGGATTTGTGAAGAACTTCTAAAAAAAAAAAAAAATGGCAGGTGAACACTGTTTCCAGTATGTTAATTTTATATATTCTGTATAGATGGAATATTTATCACTAATAATTGTACTGCTCTTATGAACTGCAGACTTCCCAAGTCCGTCCTCATGCTGTAGCTGCAGTCCTCCGTAATATCACTTTTACCAAGGATCGCTATGACAGTTTCATTGACCTCCAAGAAAAACTGCACCAGAATATTTGCAGGTTAGCTTTAAACCTAACTAGAATAAAGCTAATAGGTCACTACTTGGCTTGATATATAATAATTTTTTTAAAATTTTGAAATATTAAACTGATTTTAATTACATGGTAAACTGCAGTTCTCTTTTCCAAAGTGATATTATGTTTATACTCAGGAAAACATTTTTAGGCAGTGCTTTTGACATTTTTTTGTTTACCTTGCCTGAAGCTATCATTTCTCCATACATTTTACTATGAACAAATAACTTATATAGCTAGAGTGAAAGAAGCATGTTGTATAAGATCATTATTTTTCTTTGTTTCCTTTGCAGGAAGAGAGCACTGGTAGCAATTGGTACCCATGACTTGGACACAATCTCTGGTCCATTTACTTACACAGCTAGACCTCCTTCAGAAATTAAATTTAAACCTCTGAATCAGTCCAAGGAGTATACAGCTTCTGAAATTCTTGATCTGTATAGGGTAGGTGTCCTTTCCAAACTTTTCATACTTGGTGCTGAAAACTAAATTTCTAGGGGGCATTACCAGACTTAACCTTGATAGAGGAGACAAGATCCTTTGCAGCAACAGCCAGGAAATGTGCAAGTAAAAGCTGGAATTTTTTGTAATGTGGTAATCTCTTCTCTCAGGCTGGGACTTAGATCCCAAATTCAGTCTCATGAGCACCAGACATCTTAGTATAATGTGCATAGAGCTATGCTTGGAATAATATTGTAACTCAAAGTTTCCATACCCAGTTACTTTTTCCATGGAGATCGTAACATGAAATATGTCATATTTTGTTTGGAGATTTATATTCAGCTGTACTCTTTTGGTAACTCTTAAATTGTCCCAGAAAAACAGTTTTCACAATAATCTTTAAATTCTTACGTAGGTTCAGTCAGGGCTGTTCTAGTGAACAAAATATCTACCTCTTGTTTTGATGAAATTGGCTTTAAATCTGGTTGTAGTTGTATTTCTGTTACAGTTTCTGCGTATTTTTTCATTTAGTGTAATTAATTCCTACCACACAGTAACACATCTGGACTGGACTGTTTTAAAAGAAAAAGCCAAAACAGTATGTTTGCATACAACTGTGAAACTTAATTCTGTGAAAAATAGTTAATTAATTTAATTCTCTCCTTTTCTCTTGCACTATTTGTGTGTGTGTCAAATCTATCTGAAATTTTTCACCCAATTGCTGTACTATTAGGGTAAATTTTGCCCCCATTGAAATCAGTGGGAGTTCTGTCACTGACTTCAGTGGAGCCAGGATTCCACCCTTGGCCTTTATATTATTCTTGAGCAGTTCATGGTGGTATTTAATTTTTGTTGCTCGTGTAAGCCACATGATATCCTGAAGATGAATGCAGTCGTTACTCAGGCCTATTATGTAAATACTTTGTTAAATAAACCCAAAATTTGCTTTCCATGAAATTTTCCTTAATGTTTGAGCATACTGGCAGGAAACTGAATACACCAGGGATGAAAGCACAACTAAAGCAAATGCAGCTTTTACTTTGATTAGGCATTAGCAGACACTCTTGAATAATTTGTCCAACTCTTCCAGGAAAGGGTAGAAGTGTAACATACTCGAATTAAATAAGATGATGTTCTTGGTTTCCCTTCCCAGTTAAAAGTTTCTTTGCCATGGGGTAATGAATTTTAGTAAGAGATCCTGTCTCACTTTATGAGGCTTATTTACATCCTGTCTCACTTTATGAGGTTTATTTTAACCATTTTAAGCAGTCAATTTTCTAATATTCATGTTCCCATCATTTCTGTTGAGTCGCATGACATTTTCACAGCAATAAAGAAAACTCTAAATAGTTCTGTGTACATTTTCATGACAGAACATTAAGGGAGATACCAAGCCAGAATGAAACAGAGACTAGAATATGATGTTTGTCGTGGTAAAAATCATGTTTAGGTAAAAAATCCTGCAAATTTTAAAATGTGAAATGCCCTGGATTAGATAGTGATGAGAATTTTAAGTATAAACCCAGAAGGTTTTTAAATCTTTCTAAAGATAATGTTTATGTTAAAAGTGGCAGAAATTATTGTGAAATAGGGATGGGATGTTTAGTACCCCAGATAAGGACTAAAATGGTAAGTTACTGTATGATGAGCAGTTGCTACATTTAGTTTGGGTGAGCTCATGTGGCTGTGATTCTGCTAACTGTCATTTTTATTTAACTGATATCTTTAAACTAGTTTTATCTTTTATATGAAGAGGAGGTAAAAAAAGGAAAGAGGAGGTAAAAAAGGAGAAGGAGGGGAAAAGACTTTTTGGCTTCCTTGCTTTCTGTAAGAACTAATCCTAGGATAGCAGGTACCTAGGGTCCTAATCCTTCACTCCAACAATGACTCCTGTTAATGTCACAGCTAAAGGATTATATCATGGAAGGAGAGTTAATGATTGAGTAATGTAAAGTTCTATTTGTGTTTATTTCTCCAGACTGACAGCCACCTTAAGCAGTATTTACATATAATTGAAAACAAACCAATTTATCCAGTCATTTATGACAGCAATGGCATTGTTCTTTCCATGCCACCAGTCATCAATGGTAAGATTACACATGGCTTTTTGTTTTGTCACTGCTGCTGTTTTTTTTCTGATGGGGTAACCAACATAAATACTTCACAACTGTATGTATATTTTTCTTAAAATGGTACTATTATTTAATTTACTCTTCTCCTTTCATTCATTCTACCACGGTGCTGCAAAACCTCTTGCTCTCTTGGGCTGCTGGATGCTGCTTTACAAAACCAACAGTGCTGGGGATACCTAGCACAAATTCCATGCACGTAGTTTCTTGCCAAAGAAATCTAAATACCTGTCATCTGTGACAGGTGCTCCTGAAAGTTCTGTGATAGGAATAGTTCTTAGATAAGGCATTTCATTTCTTTATGTTGAACCAGGCACACGTTTCATCAGACATTTGGCTGAATAGGAATGTAGTTCATGGTAAATCAGTAACCATTTGAATCTCTATTTCACGTGTTTCAAATAATAGCAAATGCTGTTTTGTTTATTGAGACACAAATCCATCATAGTTATCAGCAGTATAAATCGATCAGTGAGCCCATTTGCTATTATACAAAATACGACTCCAGGAAGTGTTTGATGCAACAACAAAAAAAACTAACCCTAGAATATTTGTTGGAACTTCTAGCCATGAATTACTTCTGAATATAAAGGGAATTAATGAATGATTTTTTTTGAGAACATTCCTCATGACTATTGAACCTCATCAATAACATGGTGAGAATATTTCCTTCAATAAAGCGGTTGCAGTATAGCTGCAATAAAAAGTTTGGCTAAGCCAGCAATTGGAATACCACTCTGTTCTGCTTGTGATGACTGATATGATTGACAGTGGCATTCCCACATTGGGTACTTGTCTGTCATCCTCAGAAATAATAAACATCTGACCTGGACCTTAACAAGCAGTGCATGTTTTTCTTATGTGCCCCAACATGTGACAACTGTTTCTAACTGGAAGGTGATGTCAGCCACAGTCTATGGCTAGTCTTGGTTAGCTTTGTTTCAGCTTCAGATTATTCTAGTTGTAAATATGCCGTGCTGCTCATGTCTTAACTAGTCAAAAGACTGAGCAAAATATTTTACTTGGATATATATTTTTTTTAAATAGGGTATTTGACAGAAGCTTCCAGATTTAAATTAATATTTTTTACAATTCTTGAAATGTGAACATCTGAAAGGCCATTTTGGAGTATCCCAAGAACACTGCAACTAGAGGTTATATTTCCTTGAACTCTTCCAGAGTAACATGTATTCAGTGTACAGAGGGACATGACTGAGGCAAACCGGGGAAGGGAACACAAGATACCTAGTTCTGCGGATTTTTTCTCCATTTTATTTTTTCATAGTTGCAACATGTTCACCTTGTGACCACATGCAACTTTGAGACAGTAGTTTTCTGGAGCTTTCAGGGCTTCAGTATCAAATGCACTGTCCCCCAATCATTGCTCATACTACATGATAGTGATAGTACTTTATTAAAAAGGAAACCCATTTGTGGGCTTGGTACTGGGCTATCCTGCATAGTGTGGAGCTGCATCATGTTGCCAAAAACTTCCCACAGCAGGGACTTATCTGCCCTGCAGTGGCATCTCCTTTGTGCAGGGGAAACCACCCCTGTCCCTGTTTTTTTTTCAGGGCTGCCCCATCACTTTTATTTTTCTCCCTACTCTCCCTCTCCTCCCTCATTGGGCAATATGTTGAAAGTTCCCACCAAGCTAGGGAAGCTTGTGGCTTTATTATGAATCTTGCAGTATGTGAGGTCTTGCCCAAAGTTCTTGTTCCTAGAAGTAATCTCATTTTGAATTTTAAAAAAATCAAATTTCTAGACTCAAACTCCTTAGTGCCATTTAGACACCATTTGAATGAATTGGAATCTGATCCTTAGTCTCTATGCCTCATAATACTACAATTCAGTTCCAGGGATAAATACATTAAGGATTTGGGCTGTTTAGACCTCACATTGACAGGAGCCATAATAGTATCTTTCCAGAGCAGTAATTCTCAATGGGGTACCACCAGACTCAAGTGTTGCATTGATTATTATATTATGATTCTTCATTCAGTGTTTTTCTAGCTGAAAAAACATGTTTCCAGTCATGTTGTTGTTGGGTTTTTTAAAGCATTGTAATAAATAAATTATTTTTCTTTTTTAGTGTGGTTCCTCTAAATTCAGAAATGTTATAGAGGGGTATCTTATCTAACAGGCTGAGAACCACCGATTTAGAAGAAGCTTCTGTAATTGAAGTGTGTAACTGATTGGAAAGCCAAACTCAGAGATAGTTATCAGTGGCTTGCTGTTGCACTGGAAGGATGTTAAGTGGAATTCCAGTGGTCTGTCCTCAGTCTGATGCAATTCAGTGGTTTCAGTAATGGCTTGGAGGATGGAACAGAGTGTATGCTTATTAAAATTGCAGTCAACACTAAGCAGGGGTTGCAGGTAGCTTGGAAGACAGGATTCAAATGCAAACTGATCTTGACAAATTGGAGAAATAGTCTGAAATAAGTGGAATTAAGTTCAACAATGACCACGTGCCAAGTACTGCACTTAGGGATAATCAACTGCACAAAAACAAATTGGGAAATGATTGATTAGGCATCAGAGAAAGGACAAAAGATTTATAGTAGATTGCAAGCAGAATAGGGGATGATTATATATACAGGAGTGTTAGGTAAGACGGGTAAATACTCCACTCTGTTTAGCACTCAGCTCAGCCCTATAGCAGCAGTGCTAGCTACACACCACTGCTATGGGGCCAGGCTGGAGCTGTGCTGTATGTTGCAACAGGAACAGAGCTTGCTGGTACTGGAGCAAGGCTAAGAGGTGGTAGGGAACAGAGGGTCTTGGAGGGTGTGGGGGGGAAGATGGGTGAAGGGGGTGGGGGCTGAGGCTGTGGTGGGTGGACAGGCATAAAAGGAGATAATTGGAGTGGGGGGAGGGAAGGGTAGGGATAGCCTGCCCTCCTACTGGTTGTCCCCCACTGCCTCTTCCATCGCCTGACCTCCTACCACTGTTTTTCTCGCTGAAGTAATGGGAATGACTTGAAGATGACCCTCCTAATTAGATTCCATACATGGAAAATTATAACAAATTGATCATTTTTTCCTTGTATAGAATGTAATTATTGCAGGGTGTGTGTGTCTTGAATTCAGGGTCATCTTGGATTTGGGTAAATATGGTATCTTCTCTCCTGCCAGATGAGAAGGAGAGACGTTTACATTACAGATGGGGACCTGGGGCCCAGAGCAATTTGGTGACCTGTCCAGGGTCATACAGGATGTCTTTAATGAAGCTAAGAATTGAACCAGAGTCACCTACGTCTATGTTTGTACCCCTGTCTCTGGGCTTCTCCTTCTCCATCCACAAGGCAGTTTGAGGTGGAGAGAGTAGTCACTGAAGTTTCCTAATAAGTCTGTTTGAGGAGCATTCAAGACCAGGGGTCAGCAGCATTTTTGGGAACAGTGCAAACACCCCCTCCACAACCTTGACTTATAAGATGTTGGCATGCAAGGGGTGGATGGCAGGGAAACAGCGAGGGGCCCAATTCTTGTTGTGGCAGCTCAGCCTCGACCCCTTCCCCACCATCTGCCCTGAGACACACATGCACTTACCACTGGCAACAAGCCGAGCTGGGGCTCTGTGGACCCTGGTACAGCTGCTTTCAGCCTCCCAGTTGACTGCTGCACCCAGTCTGAGCCCTGCCGCCGACCACGGAGCCTGGGCTGCTTGTGGTAGCAAGGTTGCAAGCAGCTGCACTGAGGTCCGCAGAGCCCCATCCTGGCTTGTTGGTGGCAGCAGGTGCACACACGTTGGGGCAGACAGCGAGAAAGGGGCTAGGACCGTGCTGCCACAACAAGGATTGGGCCCTTCGCAACTCCTGTGCCTCCCATCGCAGGGTGTATATGCCAGACAGAATGTCTTCATGTGCTGTGCTCTGTCACATGTGCCAGGGATTGCTGACACCTAGTCTAGACAGTGATTAGGGTGTTATTGACTCAAGTCTGCAGTTAAATGTTGGGTTTTTTGCTATTCCCATTAAAAGATAGGAAGACCCTCTGCATCCAACTATGCTGCCTACTAGGCCTCAGCTGGAATGCTTCTCCTTGATTAAAAGAATTGAAGGATTTAAAAAAAAAAAAGTCTCTTCCCTAATCTCCCAAACTCGATCAGTCACAATTACTACCTTGGCACTTGCTGGAGGAAAAAAAAAAAAGCGCACTCCCTGTGACTGCAGTACGGCTTTGTAACCAGCAGATGGGCATTGTTTGGTTCTTTTGCCTGTCTCAACTTGAGGCTGATAACACTTGCAGACCTGTGCACCCTCCCAAAGATGGGTTCACTCAAAAGCCTGGTCTCCTGTGCAAGAGTCATGCCATAAATTTACAAGTGGAGAGTCTAATTTAAAATTTAGAGCGGTTGAAACAGCGGCAAAAATTAACGTTTGGACTGTGGGAGATAATGGTACATAAATGTTGGACCATGAATAGGATCTGTTCTCAATCATTCCAAGAGTTGAGTGAGCATTTTCAACACATTTTTTATTCCTATTTATTATAGGAGACCACTCAAAAATAAACCTAAATACCAGAAATGTATTTATTGAATGCACAGCCACTGATATTACAAAGGTAAATGAAGTTTTGTTTTATTCTATATGCTATTTATGTAGTTGGCTTTCTAAGTAATATGGTCATTGCCATACCAACAAGATCAGCATTTTATGCTAAAACAGTTTTTTTTATTTTTCAGGCTTATTTTTTATAACCCCCTTAGAATTTCCCAAATATTTCTAGTTTTATTTTTTTAGGAGGAGATACTTTTGGCCCTGTCTTGATATTGAATGTTCAGTTTGAACGAGAAAATAATTCAGATAAAATACTAAAAATATTTTTAAAAATATTTTTCTAAAGGTAAAGAGCTCTAAAAATGTAACATGTATTAAGATTATTTGTTTTGGTAAAGCATACCATCCTCATATTTAACTGTAAAATGGGGCACACAATTTCTTTGGATTAATTTTACCACATCTTGCTTAGGGAAAGTGTTGGTTTGCACTAGAGGGCAAGTTTTCAAGCATAAATACACCTGCAGTATTGTGCCCTCAGAAAGCCACTTGTCGCCACACAAATTTTCTAAGTGAAATTTCAATTAGGCAGGTAAGCATGAAGTTTTCCAGTGCTCATGTTTGCATTTCCGTAGAAGTATTGTCACAAAGAGAAAAATTCTAAATATGTCTCCATGTAAAAATGCAGATTAAAATATTGGGGGGAATGCTTTTAGGTAGCTGATAAATACATTTATTTTGTTTTTTATCTATAAGATTTATCACAAAAATGATGCTTGTTCAGCACTTAGAAAATAAAAATATCTAGACTGAGGCTAATTTTCTTTGTACCTCTGATACTGATTTGTATTTTATAAGCATTATCTGTGACCCTGTCACCTTAAAATTATCACCCACAAAAATATGATTTTATCATTAGGCTGATCTTAGCATGTGTTTTTATAGAGATTTTTCCGGTCCCAGAGCACACACATTCTAACTTACTTAAACGGCACTTTTAAATTTTGACTCACTTAAAGGCGTTACAGGACCCAGTTCCATTTGGTAGAATATCTAGGTGATCTGTTTAGGAAAAAACTCCATCTCCTCCCAGGCCATTGAAAGCTACAGTTTTTACACAAACGTCTTTGTTGCAGAAGCAAAAGAGTTTCTTGGGTTTTTTTAGTTGAATGTGGTTTGTCTGTTTTAAAGACCTTTTTATTCTTGGATTCCTTGGGCTGGGGGGCAGGGGTTGTTAAAGGAATAATCGAAGTAGCATTATCACTGATTGAGGTTAAATATTTTCTTTGCTGCTCTTCACATATATTTAAAATCTGTGGGAGCTGGCATTTATATTTAAATGTGCTCACTTTTCTCTTTCTATTTTTTGGGTAGGCAAAAATTGTCCTTGATATCCTAGTAACAATGTTTAGTGAATATTGTGAGAAGCAATTCAGGTGAGTAGTATTGACCCTGTTTATAAATGTGATATTATTTCTTGGTCATGTGACATGCTTTAAACACTTGATTTTCTCTTCCCCACCAGTGTGGAAGCCACAGAAGTAATTTATCCTTATGGAAAAACCTGCATCTATCCAGTAAGTATTACAGACATGATGTGGGGGGAGTGATTTTCTGTACATGAGAATTTGGTAAGAGTGAGAAGGGCATAGATAGCTCTTATTTCTGATTGTATAGTAGGATAAAGGTGAGTCCTGTTACATAAAGATTATTGTGGCTACCTTAAAATAGTAAATCTAACCCTGTATTACAGATTTCTTTTCTCTGATCAGTTTGGTGTCCTAATTAGAAGTTGGATTAGAAAGATGTTAATACTAGATTCTAGTAGGCAGAAATGAAAAGTTTCTGATATATTGTCTAAAGTTTTCTTTTTCTTCTTTTTCTAGGAATTGGCTTACCGAAAAGAAAAGGTGAAACCAGATTTAATCAACAAGAAAATAGGAATCAGGTATGATTTGCAAATACTCACCTAGATAATATTTGATGGGAAGTCATGAGCTCTGAGGAAGCACAATTACTATGCTGCTTTCAGACTAGCTTCGCTGAGTTCAGTTGATTTTTATTTTTTTTTCCCCTCCCCAGCTTTTTTTTTTTTAAGAATGTATTGAAAACTGGAATGTTAACCTGGGTAATTAGATTGACTACCTAAAGATTTCCCCTGTAATTTCAGCTAAGTGAATAATTCTTTAGTTTCCCTCTAATTATTTTGTAGTGATGCTGAAAGAGGATGGCTGTCATGGTTCACCCCAGAGGAATACTGATGGAAGGCAAATACTCTCATAGTCCATAAAGTGCTACTGTATTCTTTCTGATGGAAGAGACTGTACAAAAAAGGTGGAATCCTATTGCAAAATAAGATGTAAAATAAGCTCAAAACACTATTCTGTTGTCTTGTTTTAGTGAAACTCCATCAAACCTTGCAAAGCTGTTGACCAGGATGTGTTTGAAGTCGCGTGTTACAGGGAATGGGAACAATATAGAGATTGAAATCCCTCCTACAAGAGCAGACATTATCCATGCATGTGATATCATAGAAGATGCAGCAATAGCTTATGGTTATAACAACATTCAGATGACTATCCCGAAAACGTACACCATAGCTAATCAAGTAAGATTGCTCCTTTAAATAAACACTCTATTGTCAGTAAATGAGAAGTGTATGCCAGAAGGGCTTTGGAAAAAACAGAACCTAAGAATTAAGCAATATTTTGACATGCTCTGCCTTGAGAGGCATTTACCATGGATAGGATACAAAACAGATGCCTGACTGATTTGAGTAAGTCCAAGACCAGTGGTTGCTGGTGCTTGAAAAAAGACAGGGGTTAAGCATGGAGCCAGTATTGAATCTCCAATTGGGAGTTTCATTTCCTCAATCAAGCTCTGAGGCAGCTGGTTGATGGGGTTTTTTAAAACTATTTTTTAAGCATGCAAGCCTAGTTACCTCCCTAGCAACATCTACTTTAATGGAACAGGCAGAATCTCCCAGGAAAAGCTTAAAAACATTTCAGAAGAGAAATGAAAATTGTTTTTTGTTTTGTTTTTAGTTTCCTCTCAATAAGCTCACGGAACTTCTGAGACAAGACTTGGCAGCTGCTGGATTTACTGAAGCACTCACTTTTGCCCTGGTACATTATATTAACTGACTTTTTTTGTTTGCTTGTTTTTAATTGTATATCGAAACATTAATAGAACCAAATCTGCAGACAGTAGTCTCATAGTTCTGAACTGTGTAAATGTAGCAATGTTATACAACATTATTTTGTCAGGTCCCTTTTTTGCTAAAGTTTTGGTATTACAATATAGTTTTGTGTGAGATCATGCTGTTGGATGAACTGAATAGCTAATTGTTAATTTGACATTTAGTTTTAAGTACTGAAGTGAAAATGGATGCTGGAATACTGTTTTTAATTTCATTTGACATTGATAGTACTAAGTTAGAAGACAGCAAGTCTGTTTCTGAAGGCTGCCAGGATTATTAACACACCAGATGTGTCCTTGGGTATGTTTAATAGTCTGAAAAACAAAACATAATTTTTTATGATACCCAGTAGGCACCATTGTTGTTCAGAGGTGACAGCCTTTCCATGCTGAATCTATTCTTGGGTGCTGTAACTTGCCCCCAAGTACTTGCATTAGTTGTAAAGGTGATAAGCAAGACTCAGCAAAAGAATGTTTCTAATAAATCTTGAAACAGCATGAAATGTATGTTAATTGTACTTTCATGTCCACTTAAGTCTCACTGTAGCTCTTCACAGATGCAAACCACTATAGTTATTAATAAAATACGATGCTGTAGTGTCCACAGGTAGGGACCTACCAAATTTGGGGCAGCTGCCCCCCAACTTTGCAGGCAGAACACAGAGCTTGGCAGTCATTTCAAGGGCTGAGTGCAGCAGAGCCCCACACGCTGCTGGGCGAGAGGCCCTGATGGCCCTGCCCCTTGCTGCTGATTGGCCTGTCATGTGGCCCTACCCTTCACCAATTGGAGGCACCCTTCACCTGCGAGGACCAATTGGCCCTCGCAGCCAATCAGAGTGGGGGTGCTGATAGCCCTCTGAACTGGTAGACCCCCCTTTCCCACCCCAGTGGGCTGCTGCAGCACCCTGAAGACCAGTTGCATCCTCTGGGAAGCCAGCATTTTCTTTTCAGGAAGTCCCTCATCTACCCTTACCTCCTGGATTTTGTGGGCATTGCCTGATTTTGCAAAATCTGAAAAATCACAATATTGGTGGTCCCTATCCATAGGCCCTTGTCAGGAATTGGTTCTCTGTAGGAGCATGTGCTGCTTACTGAAGTAATGGCCATAGCAGCAGCCAGTGTAGTTTTGAAAACTGGAATTGTGCAGACAATTAGTGGATTGTACAGGCTAGTAACTGTTTTTCTTTTTAATATTAAATATAAGTGACCATATTTAGTTAAGCAAATCTGATATTTTCCTTGCAGAGCAACTCTTTAGCAGAGATTTAATAGCAGGTTTTAGTATGGGGCTCTTTAGGGTAAAAGTAGTCAAGGTGAATACTAAGGCAGGCCCCCAGGCACAGAGCTGATACCAGACCCTGCCTGTAGGTTTGAACAGATCTAGCTGTAGAAAGGATTTTCAAAAATTCATAGAGCTGTTCAGTAGTTAAATCTCTACCTGGGGCTGGAAGATACATTTTCCCATTGAACTGTCTTGTTCTTGTTTCAGAACAGAGTAGTTTGCCTTAAAATTTATTTACCTGAAGGTGTACTCAGTCTTTTTACAGTGTCTTTTATCTGATTCATGACTAATATTTGGATAACATTTTTAAAAGAATTTGAATGACTGAGGACATTGACTTTTGGTAGGATTATGCTTCAGAAACAGTTAGTTGCTCTTGAAAAATGTTACTCTTGGGAACATGTTTCCAGTAGATAATCTAAAATAGTAAAATTGGATTCAAAATGTCTTTGCCCCCAGATTTTTGGGAGTAGGGGATGTTCAGATGCTAAATCAATTCTTTCACTGTGGGACACATCTAAGTAGTCCATAATTTCACTGGGTTGTCAAGGATAATGGCTAACAGTGGCTTTACACAAAACAGCATGGGCCAAAAGATACAGGACTCTTTGTGACAGTATAATGTTAAAGGCAGCACACGGTATATATCTAGAGACTGTATTCAAAGCTTTTACAATATTTTTTCAGTGTTTGGAATATTTTAAAATGCTGAATGTGTTACACCCCAGCAATATGACCTTTAAAGAAATGCAAGACTGTTTAATAACTACAATAGTATGGACTGTTCACAGGGGTACAGAACTTATTCAGATCACATTTAGGCACATATATCATGTTGTGCATGTTGACATTTGTACTTCTGCTGTGTCATTATGGCATCTCAGCTGTGGCATGTCACTGCCAGGTTATAAAACACAGATGTGAAACATGCCTATAATTTCAGTATTACTGCTACCTCGGTATTCTGAAGTCCTGTGTTATGTTTTGGATGAAAACTGTCCATTATCCATTCTCACATCCAATCCATTCTTTGGTTTGAACCCAAGATTATCATCTCTACAGAATATCATTTTTCTGTACAAGGATCTCTGATTTAGCTAACGTATTCAGTTGCATCATAGTTAGATACCAAGTTTAGCTTCACATCTGAAAATGCTTGAATACAGTTGTTCCCTGCTAAGTGTTTTGCATTCAAAACCTCACTTTTCAGATGGTATCTGGTCATTTTACTTGCATTTGGTAGATCAACTCTCCTTTCAGAATGTTGTTAACACAAAGGGAACAGTTCTGGAGGGCTGTGGGATACAAGCAAATCCTCAATTGCGTGCTTTCTCTGCTGTCAGTTTCTTGTTGCATTAATAAAGCTATACATGCTGGAAATCCTGCTGTAGGTCTTAACTGTAGTCTGTTACCTTGTGCACAGATGGCATGTGAACTTAATAGGTCATGCGCTCTATTTTGGTAATCAGCTATTAAAAAAAAACAAACCCTGAGCACGTATGGATCCTTGCTTGTTGAGATCTAAACTGTGTAACCCTTATTTAGGCCCAAAAGAATGTTACCATGCAGACAATCACAGTGAACTTTGCCTTCTCTGTGAGCAGTCTCAATGTACCATTACTTATACTGGGATTACTTACCACCCTCAGAAATAAATCTGTCCACCTAGGTTTAAAGATGAGATGATAATCTTTACTCTGTCATTTATTTTCACAAGTAGCTGAGCCATGTTATTGAGCTCCAGAGCTATTACTGATCTTTGTTTATTCTTGATAACAAATTTCATCATTGCTTCACTGCATATTTTAACTATTTGATGCTTCTGTTTTTCCCCCTCATCCCCTTAGTGCTCCCAAGAAGACATTGCTGATAAACTTGGTATGGATATCTCTGCAACAAAAGCAGTGCACATAGCTAATCCCAAAACAGCAGAATTTCAGGTAAAGTACCATAGTTCAGTGTCAGTTGTAATTCTTATAAGCTTCCTTTAAACTTAAATCTAAGCTTCGGTGTTTCTGTGTTTTAGGTATTCCACTGGAAAAGTTTTGGGGTTTTTTTTAAAAGCAAACACCCCCTTGAGTGACAGTGATGCTGGCTAGAAATTATGGGACCTCTAAACAACAGCATAAATGATTAATTTATTTTCATTGTCCAAGCTAGGTAATGGAAAAGTACATCATTATTACAAAAGGTTAAATAAATAAATAAAGCCTTATCTTAGTCTATTAATGATTTGTAATTTGACTTGTTTTTTAAATCTTCTAGGGATTTTCTCTCTCTCTCTCTTTTTCTCTCTGAAACACTCTTTTTTGTTTTTGTTTTTTTTTTTTTCCCCCCCCCCCCGACACTTTCTTCCTAAGTCTCAGTATGGTACCTTGCTTCTCCCCAATACCCCAGCTATTCTGTGAGTGAAATTTTTTGGCGTGTGCACACAAATTTGTGTGTTGATATTCACATGCATTAAACAGTCATTCACAGGGTTGTATTTGGGCCACCTTCATCTACCAAACTGAGATGGTTGTAAACAGTAGTGGTCTCTGTTCTGTTTTGACAATTCAGCTGAAAATATAATAGTACTGATGCGATTCTGAAAGGAAGAGGGACTCCAAATTCAGGTATGGAAGAACAGCAAACTAGCTACAAATACTAAATAATCAACGCATAATAAATAGCTGTGGCTGGGTACATAATAACAACTTTGCATCTGCTGTCATAAAGTAGAGCCAATAACTGTGAGTTCTCATATGTTAAGTTATATGAAATTGGACTGAGCCAGCTTGAAAAGTTGGGACCCTTTTTGAGTTTAAGGTTGCATTTGAATGCAGAACACAAATCTATGTGTTGATATTGTGGGAGGGAGGAGGCTCCTCCCCTAAAAAAGCCACCAGTACAATTAACACGTGTCTGGTTCCTCATGCATCCATGTTAAGCAGTGCAGGATGCCCATCACTGCAATCTGAGCATAATCTTAAAAATATTATAGTGATGGAACTTAAGTACCACTATGATGATGACAGGCACCAGAAAGCACCCAAATGACTATTTTTCTCCTGTAATATTTGTTTCCTGTATGAACAGGGAGTGTCTTTAGAGAAAATACCTGATTTTATTTTTATTCCCCCTCTACCCTAAACCTAAACTTCACACACATTTTTATTTCTCTGTGCATTTGGCTGCTGCCTTACCTAGCCTCTTTGCTTTTGCTTTTATACCACTTATCATTACTTTGGACAAAAAATTATAGTCTTGATATTTTTTAACATTGGTTTTCAGCTACCTTGCAGGTGAAAACCTTCATTTGGCTACTGAGTATCCACTACTTCTGTAGCAAAAGAACTGGTTAATTCCTGCCATCAGGGAGGTTCTACTCTGGAACAAGAACCCCTTGAGCCCACACTTCTGACAAAATAAGAAGTAATATAGATAAGATAACACCCCGTCTTCTGTTGGTTAGAAATTCACTGGGTCTGTGTGGAGTGATGGCTGTGCTGTGAAAAGGAAATTGATGATTCATGTCCCTTTGGATAAGAAATGTATATTTTAGTTTCTCAGAGAAATTGGTAGTCTCTGTACTAGGAAGCATGTTATCTAGTACTAAGAGCAGAGGACCCAGAATTGGAAAAACTAGGCTTTGTTTCTTGCTCTTTGGATATTAGTACAAAATCAGATAAGCTATTTACCCATTCTGTGCCTTATTTTCCCCACTTCTGCGTATTCATAAGGCACTTTTGAGAGTCTTGGCAGTGCGCCATAGATGCATAATGTATCTACATTTTCAGATTTAATCATTCTAAAGTTAAAAACACAGACAGCTGAAATTACTCTGGTATTTCATTTATTTTTAAAACTCTTGTTCCAAATAAGTAAAACTGGAAAACCATCTCAACGGGTTGTTTCAAATGTACAATTTCATATGTGACCTGCAGGTGGCACGCACCAGCCTCCTGCCTGGCCTCCTAAAGACCATTGCTGCTAACAGGAAGATGCCTTTGCCTTTGAAACTCTTTGAAATCTCTGACATTGTAGTTAAAGATTCTTCCAAAGGTAAGATCAGCTTGTTTACACTTTTTTACTTCCCTTTGTAAAAGGATTTCTTAACTCTTCCAGAAGTTTTTTTTCTATCTCTTTTAAACACATCTGACGATGGGAACGCTTTGTTTTTTTTAAATGTCTACCAGTTTAGTTCTTCTAGTCTGCATCCCATAAACAGACCACCCTACATGAGATAGGCAGCATGATGGTGTTGTGCTGGATGGTTCCACA